GGGGGGGAGGGGGCACTAAAACCTGAAACGTCTAATGTTGTACACCACACATCAGGATATGTCCAAACACGAAAAATGTACTTTATTCTGAAGAACTTTGGAAATATACACTTCCATCCAATTGACTCTAATCCCTATATAGTTAATATGGCATTGGGTCAATTGTCACAACGTCCATGGCTGTCTCGGACACAGAGTCAGTGACTATATCCGACACTAACTGTTTTCATTGCATTGTATTGATAAAAGGGACTGGTAGAAATACTACAATATGAAGGTTTACATACCAGACCCTAGATTGGCCTTCGACCTGTATCGGGTCGATGGGACTGATATACGTATATCGGGCCGATCTGGGGCCTGATATGAAAACTGTCGTATCATAACTTTTAAAAAATTACAGGCATTTGGGAAATATTGATTCACGACAAGGCAAAACAGTCAATACTCCTCCTGCATTGGTAAACATGGAATTTTTAAATTTATAAATGAATTAAATATATTTTTATTAAGAATCAACATACATTGATATTCTTTAATGAACTTCCCCTCCCCCAAAACTTATATTGCATAAATTTTCTTCCGTCTATTTTAAAACCAGAAGCTACTCTACTGTAGAAGCTATGTCTGTTGTCAGGACGTGACAAACATATAATACCGAACAATGGGATACACAGGACACAGGGACATGTCACTAAAAATATTTACATGTACTAATATATATATATATATATTATAAATCAGAAAAATGATCCTTACGGACGAATAAATATTATATAAAGAAAAAATCTTAACAACGAGTCTTTAGTACTTTCATCTCTTCTAGGAGATTCTTCAGTCTGTTCACGTGCACGAACATATTCTACCAGGTACCCCGATCTTGTTTCCCTTCGTTCCTCTATTGCTTATTTATGCTGGTGTTTTTTTCTTTCAAGGGGGGGGGGGGGNGGGTCGACCCGAAAGCACATCCCTAGAACAATAACTGTAACCCCAACCCCTCCCCCTCCATGGGGTAGCGTTGTATCTCTCGTGGTATCTACAGCTCAATATTTGTCCAGTAACGTAACACACGTACCCGAGTTCCCGGGGTATGTTTACACGAGAGACTATACATGATAAATACAAAATGTGTAATTTATACTGTACATAGTTGTCACAAATGTCAATATTTACCGTCGGGACGACTAGGGCTACACACCGAGGTAGGATTACAGGTGCGTGACAGGTGGGTTTATCTGGAAGACAAATAGAGGCTCCAACACTGATTAACGCTATATAGATATGAAAACCTGATTTGAACGAGTTGTTTGTTTGACAAAATGTTTTATATCAATTTCTGATTACAAGGAGAAAAATGGCAATATGATAAGCATGTTTCTTCAAAGAGAGGCAGTAATAAAAGATTGTATTGAAAAATGGTTAAGGCGTCTGACATTCTGCTACCACTAGCCCTCCAACACTGGGTCGTGGGTTCGAGACCTACATGGGACAGTCGTCAGGTACTGGCCGTTGGTCGGTGGTTTTTCCCCGGGAACTCCGGCTTTCCTCCACCACCAAAACCTGACACGTCCTTAAATGAACACGGCTGTTAATTGGACGTAAAACACAAACAAATAGAACTGAATAGAACGCGTAGGAGACTTAGGAACCTGAGTATGCCCGTCACTACAGAGCAGAACCGCTACTGGTGCCTCGGTCACCTTGTCCCAGGATCTGTAGTACAGTGTAATATATCAATGTATCCGACCCCTCATCTACCCGGTCACATTACAACGACAACGGGCTTACAAGTCCTTACCGTCATTCATTGAAATCGGAAGCAAGAAAAGCGGTAAAAGTACCAATTTTATGGACTTTGATCGGTCTTGTTCGGGAATAAATCACACAACCTTTCTTGATTAAGCGAACGCTCAACAGCAAGGCAAACAAGAAACACCAGCCAGAAATAACTTAGGAGAAAGCATCAAAAGGTCCCCAATATTGCAATGGGTGCATCAGATTCCCTCTGATCGCAACAAAATCAGCAGGGGTTCCCACATTAGTCGCCTCTTTCAAATCGCGCAATGGATAACATTAGAAATATTTTCTTCTTAATCTCCAGCCTGCTGGGTAATAATATTGTGATGTACCAATGTATCTGATTAAGTATAATGTAGCATAACATTATCATTGTTCACAAGTATATGTCTATAACTCTATGTGTCGGGCCCCTGTGTCTTTGTGAAATGTGATATAATGTTTCCGGCTACGGTGGCTGAGCTGTGCTATTTCGTTGATTCGTCTCGTCTGGGCGAACAGACGAAAAAAAAAAGGAAATGACACAAATCACTCGGCCACCGTACCAGGCCCTTGCTAATGTGAATGTTAGCGGAAAACAAGTAATATTTTCTTTAATATCCATGTACATTTCTAAAATTTGATACACCATCGTACGCATCACGCCCCTGTGTTTGTGAGCAGGATCTGTTAACGAAAGATGAGTAGTAGTTTTATTTCCGGTGTCAAGATATGCTTACAAGCTATGCACAATTGTACGTGGTCCATTTAAGTGGACATCATATTATATATATATTGTGTTTATTTTCTACGTTTGTGTTCATAGTATATCATGGTGTTACGTATTTGCCGCTTTACAGTAAAGGTTGGGGAAGACGCCCACCTAATTAATCCTAATTCTGTTATGACGATACCAGTAAGTTTTTGGCGTTCTTTAAAAAATCTGTAAGATTGACCCAGAAATAATTACGTCACTAAGTATCTATATAAAGTAGTCCCATGTACACTGACCACACACAAAGGTGATAGACCCCCTTCAAACAATATTTATCTACAACAACAAAAATAACCCAAAGATCTTTTTTTTTCTCTTGGTTACGATTGGTGTCAGCATTTTTGAATTCCAAGCTACAGGCGACATTTGAGTACAAGTAGCCAAGAAGAGCAACCAGGAAGTTTCCCCTTGTCGTCCCCGCATCGTGAACAGTTCAGATAGTGTTGCTTACTGATAGTGATTTATACATATGTATATAAGTAAAGGTTTATCTTTTCTTGTAGGTGGAGCGTCCTCGTGACAGGTCAGCGTCCTCGTGACAGGTCAACTGAGGTACAGACAAACAGTACAGCCAGCAAAGGTGGACAAAGCAAAACTGACCATCAACTTAACAACGAGAGAAGTCGGACAAATCCATAGCAACGAGTACAAGACTCGCGGCAACATACTGTCAGTATAAGGGTTGATTTGCCAACACAGTGATATATTTTCATGGACAACCGATTTAAATCAATTGTAGGCATGGAGCCATGAATTTTTGAAGGAATGGGAATGCTGAGACCAGAAAAAGGTCACAAGGACAGAACGAGGCTCATTGGTTTACAAGAAAATAGTTTCAAAATGAACTTCCGGCGGTGTAAAATGAATCTGGTCACGACTATCTTGGTCGTAAATATGTTTGGCTTGTTGATGATCATTCTTGTGAACACGCGGCCACGTTGGCTCAGCAACGCAATGGACGGTTACTACTCCCGCGAAAAAATGTTCAGTGACGTCAGTGTTTCTGGAGAGTATAACTCGCTGAAGTGGGAGCCGGCTCAGGGCTCCGTCTTTGATACCATGGGTGACGCCAGAGAAATGGTGGTGCGCGCTCTGGAGAGTGATAAATTGCCGTCTATTCATGTTCCGTTCCCTAATGATATAGACATGTCCAAGTACAAATACACTGACGTACTGAATTTCATTGTTCCCGTCCCTCAAGTGACTACGACGGACAGAGTGTACAAGCTCAATAGAACCATCATGGATAGCCATCTTAAGTTAAAACCAAGAAAATACACCGAAAAAATCGTGATTCTGACACCCATTCACAATAGCGAAAAGAGTCTGATGAACTTTGTACGGGAGGTCAACCATCTAACCTACCCCCATCACCTCATATCGGTTGTGTTTGGCGAGGACAGTAGCCATGACGGAACTCTCACGGTAGCTCACGAAGTCGCGCAAGACTTGAAGGACTTTGGTTTTAAAAGAACGGATGTTCTTCATTTTAACATTACAGGACAAGTAACCGGTGGTTGGGGCGATATTCATCACATATTGGCTCAGTATAAACGCCGGAAACATCTTGCGCAGGCGCGGAACCTTCTTCTGAAAGGTGGTCTTAAAGATGAGGACTATGTTATGTGGATAGACAGTGACGTTGGCAGTATGCCCCCTGACCTCATAGAACAGCTTTTATACGCTGAAAAAGATGTGGTTACGCCCCTATGTCTCTTCTCTTCCGGTGGCGAAGATCGCGTTTATGACAAGAACACTTGGCGGGAAACCGAAGATTCGATTCGGAATCAAAAGAAACTTAAGCCGTATGAGCTGGTGGTGGAAGGTTACAGCACCACCTTGCGGCTGTATCTATCTGACCTTCGGGCCGAAGGTCGGGTCGTACGGCTTGATGGCGTTGGTGGATGTAGTCTATTAATCAAAGCAGACTGTCACAGAAAGGGACTTAAATTTCCGGAAGAAATTTATGACCATCATATAGAAACGGAGGGTTTAGCGAAAATGGCCAAAAACATGTCTTTTGGTGTGTATGGACTCCCGTTTGTGTTAGTTCATCATTCTTGATGTCGACAGCTACACCAGTAGTGTTCGATTTAATTTAATTTCCTACATCTTAACACATAGTTTCTTTATAAAAGAACTGTGTATTGAGATTGAAAACCCTTGGATTTCGGAGGTGGGATATCCTATTGTTAAATGTTGTCACTCAGAACGTGACTTTTTAAGTTACGCGGAATTCTTATATAATTTGGATTTATATTTATCATGGAAATCTTTTTTTCTCAAAAAGTTGTTTTCAACGAGGATTTAACATTACAAAGGGAGGTAACTCGTGCATTTTAATTTTCACTTTTGTACATATTTGAATTTCATTATACTTATTGTATAATTCTATAAATTATCACATTAATTGTTTCTGCTAATGTTTTTTTTATATTTATTTCTCGGATATTTGCAATTGATCAGAGAATAAATTCTGGAAACAAAGTTATCTCCCTTGTAGAGTTAAAACCCCTTAGGGCTAAGCCTTTTCATATTTCTTTAAGAAAATGGCTTTCGGAATAATCTTGCATATCTATGCCAATTTCGGAGATAATTGTATTTACGTATGTTTAAATAATGCATAAATATTCGTGAGTATACCGTATTTTATCGGTGATGAGCCCATGTCCGAAAATAAGCCCACCCCAAAAAAGGAAAACGTTGCCAAAAAATCAAACTATATTAATTCCGAATATTCCATGTTGCCATGCGTTTTACAGTATTTTAGATGTTAAGGCATTTTATTTCTTGAAAATAGAACAAAATGCAAGACTCATGACTTTCCCGTTAAAAAGACAACACTTTACCGATGTCGTCATTCGGGAATTATAGACACGGCATTAAAACGAGTTTCCAATTTCTGAACAAAAAGGGAGAGTACTCCAAGTTCAAAAATCTCTGGAATGGAACTTCGCGATGAATGTTGCAGGGGTATCCGCTACCTTAATATATAGAATGTGTTATCGGAGTTTCCAGGTCAGATATCAGTCAGCACAGCGTTTCGGGTATAACCAGTTGAGATGGAAATCCAGTTGTTTAATTGTTTTCAAAGTGTCATGTCCCTGTTTATGTTGTATAACTGCATTGCATCGTTTCCGAGATACAAGTTTCCGAAACAAAAGGCAAGTGATTTGGTGGTTAAGTCTAGTTCAACCAGACGCTTGATCACTGTGTAACTATTGGACGTAGCTTGCGCATGGAAAACAAGAGTCTGGTTGAACGAGATGTATGCTTCCGGTTTAAGGTAAACCAGTAGTATGCCTACTTCGTTGCAGTGTAAGATCCGTTCGTTTTAGAAATGGCTAAAATTTCACATACGTCACAAAAGGGAGATCTACTTACTAGTACCCGCTCGTCTAATATGTTTTAACTGCTGTCAAATTATCGTTGTTTACCGGAAGTGCATATATCCCCCTATCACGTGACATGCATATCTAAAACCTGGTCGAATCGACGTAATCGTAGTGACATGGGATGCCCAAAGTAATCCCGATCGGATCACTCCGCCATTTTCCGTGGCATGCTCAAAAATAGATTTCACGGAAAATGCCAAGCGAGGTCTTGAGTGTATTCCGTAACCCAGGAACTCTGGGCTATTGTCTTACTCGTTCATAAGTAACACCTCGCCCCGATTAAAGTGCCTTCCATCAAAGTAACCAATTGTTGGGGTGATCTTTCATCAGTTAGATGACCGAAGTGATCGAGACCCAGGTGTTCTGAATGTGTTTTATTTATTACGAGAGAGGAAATACCTCCTGTCGCAATCTCGACCAAGAGTTGTCTTTCCTTGCACTCACAGAGATGTAAGGAACGACAGCTCTGAGTGAGATTCCCTCTTTTTGAGTATCACCGTAATTTTCGTGCTAATGACAATTATTATTTACTTGCATTCCTATGACACTCGTGGCATTGTATATTTACATTCCATTTCTTTAATATCTCTTTCACTATCTTAACTATGTATGTTCTTTTAAAAATATGTGTTTTAGTACATTCCATGTTATCCATTTAATTTATCTATGTATGCCGTATGCATAAAATATACATAAATATGCAATCAAACCATTTCAGTATGTAAGGTACCCAAGTTAGGACTACTTGTAGTTCAGATTTGTCTTTGTCTTACAAGTAGGGAGAGAAACCCAGGATAAGGAGACATATTGGCGCTATGGGGTGGGGGTGGGGGTGGCGTAGAAGAGGTTAGAAAATGAGATGGAAGGTTGAGGTTTGTCGGGCGGGTTGGGAAAGAAGAAGATAGGCGAACTTTGCATCCTCGTCCCAAACACAATATCCTGGCGCGGCGTCATTTATCAGGTCCTTCAGTAAAGGAATAACATACCTCAAGTTGAATGGAAGGAACTGGAAAGGGATGGGTTGGAGGATTTGGTGCTGTTGATCATGTTTTCGAGGGCGACCAATTTTCGTTGCCGGCTCAGGCAAAAGTCAAAATTGTTCGTCTCTCGTTATGTATTTTTCTTTGTACTTTACATCGATCGATGTTGCGATGAATTTATTGAAATATGAAAAAAACACTTGTCACAATTGTAATGTGTTGTATACATCAACGTGGTTGATTCTGTTCTAGTGTAATCGTTTCTGGAAACGACAATTAAAACAATTGTAATGGGGTACTTGAGTAAGTAAAATGGCCGGACTAACGGGTTTCCTTAATATAAATTCAACTAATCAAAATCGCTGGACTTACGGGTTTCCAATGTGTATTGTTATACAAGTAGCTTTACAAACGAGTCCATCTTTAGTTGAAACGGCATTTTTTACAGTAATGCTGTACATGTGATTTCAGAGGAATTGGAAAACAAGGTTGGAGCTTATAGTATTAATTCCTCTCCATCTTTGAGAATGTTACCGTCAACAGACCAAGGGTCTGATACGATTCTTAAATGATAATGTAGGAAAAAACGAAAGTGCGAGTGTTGAAAACTATTATATCCGTTAAAATGTGTCCATTGTTTTGTAGAGGAGAAGTATCATGTTCTGGTATTTAAGATGTATCGCCTTTAGTTCTTTGATGGAAATTCTACCCAGAGTCGTCTTTCCTTACGCTCATTAGGGAGTAGTCTGGGTAGAGATTGTTCGATTACTCCAGGGGTTACGCTCACTTACGCTCTCTGCTCCGTAGGTAGACGATTGGATCGTAGCCCTTGGCTAGCGAAGATGAGTCACCCGGTACATCAGGGGTTGCGCAAATCCCGACATTTTATTGTGATCAAAGTATTTGTAATATCAAATATATATGGAATTGATACGGGAAATAGCTATCTAGGAATCAAAATGGTCGGACTAACAAGGCTCCGCTGTATACACAAATACAATAGGTTGGAGGAGCTTTATTGTGTAAAAATACGCAAAAAAGTAAGCGCTTGCTAAGGGATCCCCGTACCACTAACAAATACGTTCTGAAAAGAAACCCTTAAACTGCAAAATGTTTATAAAAAAACACGAAGAAAGACAGATCATGATTGAGCCCTGGACCTCCTATCAGTATACTGTCCTCTAGCCAGCTTAGCTTCCTGCAGGTCAGTGGAAGTCACTAGGTCCAGCCGCTCTGCAGTTAAATTCAAAACGAACTTAACTCATTAACCCCTGAAGACACATTTGGACTCCTCCAACTCAAAGGTTGGAATAGCTCATTATGGAATAACAGGAGTGAATGAGTTAAGGAGAGGTAACTGTGTAAACGAAAACTCCAGTGGAACTATCTAGTGTTTAGTCTGCAGTGGGACAGGGATCCATGAATATGCAAAGCAGCTGAGAAGTATTTACGGAAGTTTTCCTACATATAAATATATGTATAATGGCTAACTTTCTTTTGAAAATCCAGTTACTACCACAGGGACCTGAGAATATGGTTACAGCTATATTTGGACCTAAACTAAATATTATCGTCTTTGGGGTTGGCATTTTTCCGAAAGTTCATCTAGACCCCTAAACCATGTAAAATTACTCTAAAACACATTAGTATAGGTCCAAATATAGGTGTAACAAATTATCAGGTCCATGTGGTCACTACCTGTATGTACAAGTACTGTGATATAAATGTAGATTTGTTGAAATCAAACCAGTCATCTGTTTATAACGTATACCAACGTTACAATTATAGAACTTGATAATATTTTTGTACATTTTATCATATCCTGACATTCCATTCTATTTATGAAGTAAAATAATCCTTTTTACACATTTCAGACGCCTTGTTTGTGTTATTTGTGAGGTTGATAAGGGACATGCTACCACAGCTAAGTAAAATGGGCTGTATGACACGGAAGCACACAGGACATTGCCAAATCAACATTACAGGAAACGGTATAATGACCGATTTGTTTACAAGCTTTATTTAAACCGTATAGCAGGAAATTTGCGCGGGTCAATATCATGATCGCGAAAATATGCATGATCCACGGAATAATACAAGCGTAAAAATGGGACGCGATAACGAACTTGATAACCGTTATGTCACAAAATATCGCGCATGTTGTTGTGACTTTGAAAATAGGTTTTATCAAACGTCTAATATTCTGATGTTTATTTATCAAAAATAGACTTATTTTGTTGTTGCTCAGTTTGCTCTCATAAAGATGATTCATTTGATCCACACTTCATGTTTTTCGTCTCCGTGCTAAAATACCGTGAAAATTGAGTTCATTCACATGTCTAGATCGCGACATTTTAAGCCCGCGTAAACAACCATTATACAGTAAATTGCAGTGAATAAAACCTCATGAATTTTGATTCACAAACAAGTAAATTAAAGTACATGTATTTTAACAATGAAAATGGCGCTTCATAGATAGTCTATAAACGAAATCAGAACTCCATAGTGGCATGGCAATAGAAAATATAGGTTACCATTGATTACAGATATTAATCAAAAAGCTTGAACTATAAACCTGTCAGACTGGAGGTCAAGGTCACTTCATGCCATACATGTATTTCCGGCCGAGGTAAAGGTCACTTCATGCCATACATGCATTTCCGGAAGAGGTCAAGGTCACAGGAGACTTCATGCAATACATGCATTTCCGTTTTAATTTTTTTTTCCACACCGTTTACGTCATTTACATATCAATAAAATTCCCGAGTGTAAGTTATATGTCTCAAAGTGTCAGATTGTCTATTATAATTAAAGGAACAAAATTATCTCATCGTCACGATAGAAACAACACCAAACCTCCATAACTCAACGGTCAAACTACGGTTTAACATCAACTAACTGCAATATAATTCCATTCCGCCCCCCCCCCCCCCCCCNCCGTTATAACAGAAAAGTAGGAACATGTTAGTAAGACAGGGATGCCTCGCTCCAACACTTCAGAACTAAAGCAAGGTCAGAGAGGTCAAGGTATCAAAATGTAGCTAGTATTTGTAGAGGACCATTAGCATGAGAAATTTCATGACCGTAGCTGTAGTATATTACTTAGTCCATCAATGACCTTAACCCTGTCACCACTGTAGATTATAATGGACTCGCCCATAACAATGCATGGCAGAGTCTACTAAAGTTACATAGGGGTGAAAGGGTTAACGCAGAACCTCTTGACCAGAGTGATGTAGTGTCCTGCACCACTTGGCAGGGCATACAAAGTCTACTAAAATCAACTCTGGATAAAATCTCTGCAGTACACTGTAGAAAAATAAAAAATAAACAAATGAAAAACAACGGCAACACATATGTCTGTTTTATCAGCTGGCGATTTAATTAAGTCAAATGACAATAACATCTAACGCAGAAACAATGTTATCATGTAACCAATATGAAAAATAAATAATTTCACATCTCTTTAAAGTCTTTCAACTCACTCATTCAAATACTTAACAGTACAGACAAGGTCAAGGTCACAGACACGGGCAAGGACAATGTCAAGGACACGTGTTTCGGGATGGATGGGTTGCTGTAGATGGCGATATAATGGGTTATATGTAGAGGGAGGTATGGAGTGTATTTTTTCTCTCATATTCTGGACATCACTCTCACATTAAGACCAGTCAGACATATATTTAAGGAGTTTCTGGAGATTAATTTGATCAGATAAATATAACTATGCTAGTTAGTTCACATGACGTCACTTCAGCTCCGTACAGATACACCAACATGTACTGTAAGCGACGTACAAATATCTCACATTTACACCGACATACAAGACTGCCAGATAACAGTAATACTGAAAGCAATATTTAATGCTCGACACTAATTTTTAATAAATTAAACACAACTGCTTACCGCTGTCTCACAACTCTGGCAAATTCACAAGTTTGTAAACACAATCGGTTACCTGTTTTGGTGCTATGCCAACTTTACAAGTATGTACACAAAACTGGGTTGTAATGTTGTAATGTTGCTTACTTCACAAGGTTGGCTACTTCTTCTGGTCACTTAACATTGCCAATATGGCCGACATCAGAGACATACCTATTTCAGAGTTGCAAACTCCTAAAACAAGGGGGAGAGGGCCTAAGGAAATTTTGCAACCTCGTGTATGGGTAAAACTGAATCAGTTCATCACCTCGTCAACTTGATAGTAGTACTATTCAGGAAACTCAGTTCACTACCTTCTAAACTTGACAATAGTAATATTCAACTAATTCAGTTCATCACCTCATCAACTTGACAGTAGTACTATTCAGGAAACTCAGTTCATTACCTTCTCAACTTGACAATAAAAATATTCAGCTATTTCAGTTCATCACATCATCTTGACAATAGTACTATTCAGGAAACTCAGTTCATCACCTCATCAACTTGACAATAGTAATATTCAGCTATTTCAGTTCATCATCTCATCAACATGACAAAAGGAATATTCAGGAAACTGTTCATTACCTTCTCAACTTGACAATAGTAATATTCAGGAAACTCAGTTCATCACCTCATCAACTTGACATAGTAATATTCAGCTATTTCAGTTCATCACCTCATCAACTTGACAAAAGTAATATTCAGGAAACTCAGTTCATTACCTTCTCAACTTGACAATAGTAATATTCAACTAATTCAGTACATCACCTCATCAACTTGACAATAGTAATATTCAACTAATTCAGTTCATCACCTCATCAACTTGACAGTAAAAATATTCAGCTGTTTCAGTTCATCACCTCATCAACTTGACAAAAGTAATATTCAGGAAACTCAGTTCATTACCTTATCAACTTGACAATAGTAATATTCAGGAAACTCAGTTCATTACCTTCTCAACTTGACAATAGGAATATTTAGCTATTTCAGTTCATCACCTCATCAATTTGACAAAAGTAATATTCAGCTAATTCAGTACATCACCTCAGCAACTTGACATTAGTACTATTCAGGAAACTCAGTTCATCACCTCATTAACTTGACAATAGTAATATTCAGCTAAATCAGTTCATCACTTTATCAACTTGACAATAGCAACATTTAAACATTAGATATTGTCCAATCACATTCCATATTTAAGTCCTACAGCCTTATCATATCCACATGTTATTTCCCACTGAAATGTAGCCAGGGTTTCTGACCAGAACCAGTCAACTTTACAACAGTCCTCTCCAGTTCCAACAATACAATGGTATGTAGAAGCCGTCCATGGCACATGATCGTAGTTGACAACA